TGCCAAAAGGCAAAAGGCCAGCCCCACAGCTGCCAGCACCCAGATCGCCGATGAAGGCTACCAGTCATGCTGCACCGTCTACCGCCAAAAGGCAATTAGCTGCTGCTGCTGTGTAGCAATGCAGTCCCACCGCTGCCGGCACCCAGATGACATATGGTGACGGTGAGCTGAGTGGGTTCCATGTTTGCCGTGGTATGTTGTCTGCACAGGTAACCCAGGTAAAAAGGCGCGAATCTATTGTCTGCCGTTGCTCTGACGGAGGGGGAGGGGGCCTGACGACATGTACCCAGAACCTTCCGCGACACTGTTTTGCATCATCCGGTCATTGGGATCTCAACCCAGAATTCCAATGGGTGGCGGAGACTGCGGGAACTGTGGGATAGCTACCCATAGTGCAATGCTCCGGAAGTCGACGCTAGCCTCGATACTGTGGACGCGGTCTGCCGACTAGAGCACTTAGAGCATTTTATGTGGACACACACACAATCGGCTGTATACAACCGATTTCTATAAAACTGGCTTCTATTAATTCGACCTAATTTCGTAGTGTAGACATACCCTCAGTTTCAACAATGAAAAATCAGTGAAGTCAATTTCAGCGTGTTGTTTGTTACACCTTCTGTGTTGTTTGGGTTTTCAAAACTGCAAATGCAATGTAGGAACATTTTGTATAGAGCTTAGGTTCTGAAAGTTTAGACTGGGGCCAATTTTAAAGTGACATCCCTTTAATTTTGTTATTGCTTAATTTTTAGTTTGTAGCAGATTAAGTGAGATCAGGCAGTTGACCTTTTCACTATTCATCATTTTATATCATCTTATTATATCTGCTCTTTTTCTTCTCCTTCCTAAATGATATAGTCATATGAGCCCTGATCCTACAAACATTGAAGCATGTGCTTACTGTTTGAGAAGACTATGGCCCCAACCCTGCAGGCAGTCATTGTACTGACATAGAGTCCCCACACCTTGTGGTTCTAATACTATTCACTGACTTCTCTGGGGATGTCCTATTTCTGCTTGACCCTATGATGCGGCATCCGCCAGGTGGGGATATAGACCCCTTCTTTCCTAATAAGGGGGTATCTCCACTTTTGCTGGGATCCTCCTGCCCCTCCTCCTCTGATGAAAATCCCTCTGCCCCCCTGCCATGGGTGGCTCCCTCCAGGATGGGTCTCCCTGTGCCATCATGATGGGTATTTCCCCCCTGAGATGGGAATCACCCATACTCTCATTATGGGCTCTATTCCCCCACAACAGGGATCCCTCTTTGTCCACTGTGTAGTGTCTCCCTTAAGATAAGGATTCCCATTATGGAGTGCACCCAGGGTATTCCCTCTGGTTGTCCCCCCCCCCCATGATGAAGTGTCTTCCCCTAGGGGGAGGTTCACCCTACTCTCCACGATAGACTACTCACCCCAAGAGAATGGGGATCCCTCTGCCTCAGGATGGGGTGTGGCTCCCATGCAGGATAAGTATCTCTATACTCTAATGATGGGGTGTCTCCCTCTGGGATGTTGATCTCCCCGCCAATGATGGTGTCACCGACTCCGTTTTCGAGGGGATCCCCATCCCATGAAGCGGTGCCCCCCAGGATAAGCATCTCTCTGTCCCACCGATGGGGTGTCTTCCCGGGGTTGGAGATTCCGTGCTCCCATTGTAGCGTGTTCCCCCCACCCTCTATGGTGATGGGGTCTCTCTGGGATGGGGATCTCCTGACCCCGATGATGGGGTGAGTCCCGCGCTCCCAGGAGTGGCCGGGGATCCCAGTGGCCAGTGCTGGGTGCCCCTCACCGGGATCCCGGCCCCGCGCCGCCAGGCTCCCTCCACCCCCATGCCGAGGGTCTCCCTCCCCCGGGATCCCCTGCCCCCTCCCCCGGCCCGGGGATATCCCCTGCCCCTCCCGGCGGGCCGCGGGCTGCCCAATGGAGGCGGAGATGCTGTGCGGACTGCGGGCGGGGTGGGGGCGCCGCAGAGCCGCGGCCGGCCCGGGGACTGGCGCACTCGGCGGGGAGCCGGAGGGAGAGGCGGGCGCAGGCAGCGGCGCCGGGGCCGGGACTCTGGCAGGCAGCGGCTGGGATGAGGCGCGGGGGCGGCTGTGGGGGCAGATAGCGTCCCGCGGGGAAGCGGCCGAGTGGGGCTCGGAGCAGAGGCGGGGGCCGCCCGGCAGCGCCATGGCGGCGCAGTGCGACCCGCTGAGCGGCTACCTGCCGCAGCCGCTCTCCGACCCGGGCTCCAACAGCGAGCGGAGCGCCGACTCCCCGCTGCCCGGCTCCGAGGAGGACTCGGCTGGCCCGCGGCCCCTGCGCAGCCCCGAGTGGGGCGAGGAGCGATTCCGGGTGGACAGGAAGAAACTGGAGGCCATGCTGCAAGGTGAGCGGGGTGCGCGGGCGTGGGGGAGCCCCGGGCCGGGGAAGGCGCTGGCCGCCGGGGGCTGGGGCCGCGGGAGGGGAGCGCTGTCTCCCGCTGCTGGGCTAGCGGGGGCGGGAGGTGCGTGTGGCGCTGGGGAAGCTGCGTCCCCGCAGTGGGCTCCAGCGGGTCCCCCTGGCGAGAGGCGGCTGGTCTCTCCCCTGGCAGGGGGTGCCCAGCCGCTGGCCCGGGGCCTGCCCCTCTTGCTGGGAAGGGCTGGGACGCAGGCGGGGACTCCAGCTGTGGACTCGCCTCTGCTGGACCCCCCAGGAGCTGGGACACTTGCTGTTTGACCCCGGGTAGGGGGGCGTAGCATGGCTGCTCCTGCTGGGATGTTCCAGGTTCTGCGCTTCTCCTCAAAGCGGCCCCTAAGAGACCGCGTTAGGAACGGTCCCCAGAGAGAACACTTGAAATGTCCTGGCTCTGAAACTTACTCCCCACCCCCACCCCCTCCCCGTTCCTGTTCCCTAGCACTTCCAATCCCAGATGTGGATAAACTCTCTGCTGTCTGCAGATGTCAGGGCTTACAAACCGAGCTCCTCTTGGGGGTGGGAAGGGATTCTTTCATAAAGCGGTGGAGACTGAGCTCTAGTGTCACCTAAATCTCTTGCAAAATTCATCTTGAGTTACGCTCAGTTCGTAAAAATCTCACTTATTATTAATACAGGTGTCAAATTCTGTCTCTAACAACATCACTTCGCAGTTCTGTGGTTTCACCAGCAGCATCCTAACTATAAACGCTATTAGCGTTACTGGTATTGAAATAAAGCCTTGCTCTACTGTGAAAACTGTAAAAGAGGTTGTAAAAGGTTTCAAGGTAATCTTGAATGTCGTGGGCTACTGGAAAGACTTTAAACGAACAAAAACGAGCTTTCAGCTCATCTGAAGCATTTCAGATTTTTCAGGAATATGACAGTGTTTTGCTACTTAGCATAGTGAGCTTTCATAAAATGGAAGGTTTCAGAATTGCAAGAAAACTTTCCATTTCTGGAGTTTTTTGAATATCAGAGTCCTTTAAATAATGACTATATTCTAATTTGATCTAATATTTTTCCATTTTAGTTGGAGTGTTGCAGTGCAGTTTTTTGAACTGATATATATTATCCATACCATATCACTAAAATAATACACCTAATAGTGTAGTGTACTCTTAAGGTAAATGATTTAGAGGTTATTTTAGGTGAAAAAACTTAGTTTTGAAAACAGTAACTTATTAGATATACATGAGTAGTAATGTTTGATGATGTTTGTGTTAGGCTTAGGATTTGTTATACATTTGTATTGTTTCTTGTGATGAAATCTCTTGCATTTTGTTCCACTGTGTTTTGAATTATGTCACTCTCGTGAAAGTTAAGAAAACAGGTTTTGAAAAAATATTAATACAAATAGAAAATATTGTTTTAAAGGTGGATGTATCTTTCACAGTTGTGTAATTTATTTAGCTTTTCTAATACCTTTTGCTCTGTTCCAATGAGAATGGAGCTGAATTGCAAACTGTTACCTTTAAAATTTCTGAGAGGATAAAGCATATTTGAATTGAATGAGATTATGGAACTTTAAAAAAGGGCAATTTTATTTTCTTAAATGTTTTTAGAATGACACATGATAGTTGATCGAGCTTTTTTTTCTTTCTTTCTTTTTTTTTTTTAAGAGGAGGAACAGGAGTACATTATTAGCATGCATTTAGCATGGCCTGTGCAAGCCACATAATTTTATGGCCACTTATAATTGTGTGATGTATAAATACTGTATACTTGACTGACTGACTTTCTTTTTCAACTGTTCAGGCTGCATTTTTCAAAAATCATAACAGGAGACTGGTAGCTCTTCATTTATGTATTATTTCACGAATGAAAATATTTGCTCTTATGCATGAGAGCAGTCATTCTAAATCTGTAAACATAGTGCTTTTTATTACCTTCTGAATTACTTGAAAATGCACTGAGTAACTTAAAGCAATGTTAGAAAATGTAATCTTTGACAACAGGAAAACAAAATGGAAGAAAAAAATCTGGTCCCATAATTCATATTCCCTGAATATGATAGTTTATAATCAGTGTAATTGGAATTTTGTAATTTAAAATAATAAAGTTGGAAAAATGGTAGAGAGATTGAGGATGAGATAAGGAAGAAATTAATTCCAAGTAAATGCACTATTTTTTTGGATATGTTTTGGAGAAAACATTTTATTTTAGCTAGAGTTATGCCAGTAGTGAACCAACTCCTAAAAATAAAAGGTGTGGGTTTTTTGTTTTGTTTTTGCTTTTTAAAGAATCTGTCAGCTAAAATTGTTCAGTTAATTTCCTGAAAATGTTTTACTCATCATGACCATCATGGAACGTCTGTTTAAATTTTTTTAACACCAATGGTGGTGGTCCGAGGGGGGGGGGGAGAAAGGGAAGAGGATGCTGGATGAAGTAACTAGGAAAACTGGATTGTCTGCCCAAAAACCATGGTATGACTTGCTAATTATAATGTTTGGAATTTGTTTCAAATGAGATTCTCTCTCCTGGGGGTAGGTTAATCTTTAACCAGTTAATATTTTGTTACTAGTAGAGAAATCTCATTATGTAATAAAGAGTGCAAAGAAGCATACAGTTTTTGTTATAACTAACTGAATTACTTCTAAACTTGTGCTCATCAAAGATGTCTTAAAACTAAATTTTGTAAATTGCACATAGACACTCAAAAGAGGAGGTATTCATGAACAAATGTCACAAGTTAAAAGTGTTGTAGGAAAATAGAAGGTTTTCTTCACTTTTCCTCCACCAGTAAAATAAACTTCCATTACCTCATCCCACAGCCTGTGTCTTTCTACTGCCTGAGGTGGTAAGGGTGGGAGGGTAAAACAAACCTCATAAACAGAATCCAGTCTGATTATATAGCTGTGCCATCCAGTGATTAATGCATACGTATAACTTAAGAGAAAAAATTGTGATATTGTATGTTGTTTCAGCCTAGCATGCATGTGCCATAGATCATTTAAATTGTGTCCCTCACACAGTAGTATATTGAACAATAGCATATTGAATTCACAGTAACAAGATTTTTTTGTAAATGTAAAAACTCTGACTACCATCATATTGAATTAATTTCTAGTTAATTGGTATTCTTGCCGGAAAAAATAGACTTGTTAGGAAATGGAATAAAGAGACAAGCATAATAAATTAGTCTTTCTCCATCAGAGATGGAATATTGGTAAAATTAAGTTTGTTGGAAAAATTCAGGAAAGGTACTATGGAATAAAGTTACATCTTCAATTAATAGTTTATATTCACAGCACTTCCACCCAACTATCTTAAAGTGCTTTACAAACATGAATAAAATCTCTTGATCCTGCTGGATGCTGCTATGCTCCTTTTATAGATGGTTAAGTTAAACACAGACAATGACTTTGCCAAAGTGCCCCAGCAAGTCAACGGTAGAGCTGGCAATAATACCCAGAAATCTATGTTCACATTATTATGATCCAGCTTCTAGACAATACTGAATTTCCTTTTTTTTTTTTGTATTGGAGATAACCATCCAGTGAAAGTATAAACTTTGACTTACCAGGGTTTCTAATGGTCTTTGGAACAGAACTACTCTAATGCCTTAGAAATATACCAATAGGAACACATTAAATAGCTCATATGGTCAGATTTCCTTTTTGTTATGTCCAGTGTTATTGCTTGATATTCCTAATGATGATATACATTTAGTGAAACTCTATTTTGTATGCATACTTTACTATGTACTCTATATAGCGTGGTATACAGATTTTTTTTTTAATGTAGAACATTTTTCAGTGTAGATCTGTGAACAAATCTCATTAGACAGATTATTTTTGCAAAAAGGAAGCCGGAGTCAAACAGTATGTCAATGATTCTTTCAGTAGTGACATATTGGAAGAAAATCTTTCATAATACATTTGTTGCTGTTGTAAACTAAATCTTAGCAAACGCTCAATTAAGAAAATCATTCCAAAATATTAATTTAATTTGACGCACAAAAATATTACCATAACAACGGGGCACTATAAAAGATTAAATTTACAGAAAGCTGTCCAAAAAGTGTAGTCTGACTAAGGCAGCAGCTATGAATAAATCTACAGACAAGATAGCCTTAATATTAAATAAATAAATAAATAAATAAAACCAAAACTCAAACAAACCAACCCCAAAATACATTAATGGATTAGGTGTCTTACTAAATCAATTTTTAAAACGATGACAGATATAATGTGCTTTCTGTGTCATACCTCAAAATAGGTTTTGAATATTGTACACCTGTGTATGGTATATAGCAATGGTTCTCAACCTTTCCAGACTACTGTTACCTCTTTCAGGAGTCTGATTTGTCTTGCGTTACCCCCGAAGTTTCATCTCACTTAAAAACTACTTGCTTACAAAATCAGACATAAAAATACAAAAGCGTCACAGCACACTATTACTGAAAAATTGCCTACGTTCTCATTTTTACCATATAATTATAAAAAATCAATTGGAATATAAATATTGTACTTACATTTCAGTGTATAGTGTATACAGCAGTATAAACAAGTCATTGTCTGTATGAAATTTTAGTTTGTACTGACTTCGCTAGTGCTTTTTATGTAGCCTGTTGTAAAACGAGGCAAGTATCTAGTTGAGTTATTGTACCCCCTGCAAGACCTCTAAGTACCCCCAGGGGTACACATACCCCTGGTTGAGAACAATTGGTATATACATATCTTGTATATTTATGATGTGTCTGACACTGTAGTATCAAGGCAATTAAAATTAACATTTTAGATAAGTATAGTAGGGAAATTCTGTAGATACCCTAATGATACTTATTTTTCGTTATCCTCTCTTGCAGTGTGGGAAAATATTAGAATGTGTCTCTGTCAAGACATCCAATTTACCACCACCTTTAAAAAACAAAACACAAACAAAAAAAACCCAAGCAAGCAAAAATACCTAAACACACCAAAAACTAGACCC